TATATATGTGTATATAAATGTATATGCATATGTGTTTATGTGTATATGTGCATTGGTATATGTACATTACTATATATCACATGTGTATATTGTCATTTTTTGTTTTCTTTTATTTATCTTTCTTTATTCTTCTCACCCTCTCCTGTATTGAGCTGCAGTAATGTGCACATTTCCCCACAGTGGGATCAATAAAGTTTTATCTTATCTTGAGAACCATGAAAGWCGTTGGAAATGTAGATTAAAGAACTTTAGCATTTGTCTCCCCCTTCTGGCATTAAGAGTAATTACACCAACAGTGCTCGCATTTGCATTGTAAAAATAATAGTAATAATTTTGACTTATTTCTTTAACAATGTTTGATGGCTGTCATTTYACTTTTACAAATATAACAAACTGCTATGGTTAAGCAGAACATCAAATGCTTTTGGAAGATATTTAAAAGTATTTACCTGCTTAAGAAAAAACAAAATTCATTTATTTATGTGTCTAAAAATGTTCCAGTCTGTCAAAATATGGTGAGTTTAATCCACGTCCCTGCTGTAAACATCTTAAAATGTGTTTTTTACATTGCTGTAATGTTGAAATAAAGTGAAATTCACTGTGCCCCATTAAAAGAGGAACTAAAGGTCTAAAAGACAAATGAAAAGAAAAAGCTTTTTTGTTCATGTGCACAAGTTAAAAAGGATGATTCTCTTAGAATATGAGAGAAAAGTAGATTATGGGAGAATTTTTGCTTTTGGTTTTGCATAGTTTAATCATTGGTAAATGAGTGAAAAGATGATTTTAACACATGAAGTGAATCTGATTCATGTTTTTGTTTTATTCTGTAACAATAGACTGCTGAATGTTACTCTGATTTAAAATAAAATAATCTTATGTTAAAGTTTATTAGGTAAAGATTTTTAAAAGGCTGCCAGTGTGGTGAAAATTAATTTGTTTGAGCTAAAAGTGTCAGCTCTGGGTGCAAGGAAACAGGAAATTTTATGTGTTGAAAATGAACTTCTACAACTCCTCCAGATGTTAAGTGACCATTTGAACCTGTCGGTGACAAAGCCAACCATTGAAAGGGGAAGTCAGCCCAGAAGATTGGAAGAGGAAAACAGAAGAAAAACTGAAGTGAATCCCAGAATAATTAGGATGGACTCAGAGCCAAAGACTGAGTTGAAGACCAGAAGACAGTTATCTAAGGCAGATAGATTCATAAAATGTAGAGAAATCAGCCAGAAATAGGCCATCGCTTTAAAGGGGATCTGCCAMGAGCTGACCTGAAGACTGATCTTTCAAATTAGGAAGATTTTATTGAAGGATATCTTGCCTAAGAAAGCCTTCATGCCACAGCAGATTTGAACATTCAAACCCGTCTGTATGGAGGAC